CCCCAAAACCCCAAAACCCCCTAAATCTTTTATATTCAATCTATTGAAAATAGATAAAAATTTAATTATTAATATTAACTCAATAAATAGTAGTTAATTAGTTGCTTAGATCTCATCTTCTAATATTTTCAGTTATTATGTCCATTTTCATTGATGCTATCAATTGATTCAATTTGTTTCACTATGATTTACTTGAAGAATGTCTTATAGCACATCACTGGGTTTAAATTGCCCTTTAATTTAAATGCTTCAAGTTTGCTTTCTAGTGTAATATCCTCGTCCCCATTTAGGTGTTTGGAATGATCCTCAATGAAGCAAGGATACTTACAAAGTTCGTTACTTAAACTCAAAGTATAGAAGTAAATGCTAGAAAAGTTAGGTAAATCCATCAATGCTTAAGGCAATGAACTGCCCATAAAGAACGAGAGTATATGTATTTCTTAAATGCTATGATGTCCATCAAAATGCCTAAGAATCTTCATGAGTTCAAGGAAATTCTCAATACTTTGCTGATTTTTAGAAGTAAATTCTGGGAGATAGATACATAAATGCTCGATATTCTCCATCTATAGCTATTCCAAAGCATCCATAAAGGATCTTGAGCCGAGTCTCCAGAATCTGTCGTCTAAATTCAAGAACTACCAGGTTTCACCATGATGATCGAAGCTAGGATTGAAGTGCTTGAACAATTTAAGCAGGCTATCTGACAAGTAATTGAAGTGAAGTGCAAGCATGTCATTGTCAACATTGTAGATCATTCTAATCATTATTTTCTCTAAGATTGAAAGAAACTCATTGGTCTCTTCCTCCCCTGTTTGTCCTTTGTCATATACTCTGATTTGGGATTTGAACTTAGAGAAATGGTGAAGGGTTTCATCAAGTACTGGGAATTGAAGTTTTTACCTGATGATATCAGTAATTGTACCCGGAGTTGGCATTATTACGCCTCTGTCTTTCAACCTATTGATTAAATTTTCTGTGACAAATTAAATAGCAATATCATTTTCAGCACCTCTGGGTATGATGATATCAGCATGTTTCATAGTCTAAAAATTTGTTAAAACGCAAGGAGCTACTTACAGGTTTAATATATTCATCATAAGAGGACTTTACAAACCTGTTATAAGATTTGATGACTCCCTCGATTGTTCTCCCTCTATGAATAACATCCCTTCTAAGTCTTCTAAGCAATCTGATATCGTCATCTGAATGAACAAATATCTTGAGATCCATGATATCCCTCATCTGTGCTTCAACGAGAGCAAATATACCCTCGAATAAAATCAGGTCTGTACACTTGATCTTGATGCCTGGAGTATCTCTTTTGCAAGTTTGATAGTTATAGTTGGGAATTTCAACGTCCTCACGATTGCAAAGCCTAAAAAATGTATCCTTGATCAATGGCCAGTCCATAGCATCCGGGTGATCGAAGTTATACTTGCCCACATTCTCATATTCCTCTTCCCTATTGGCAAATGTGTGAAAAGATGAGTAATACTTACGTGAGTTCCTTATAAAAGCTATCCATTGGTATCATAGTGCATTCTCTTAAACTGCCTATTCTATTAAACACAATTGTGCCATTGGTTAAGGTTTGATTAGAATATTAAAGAGTAAGTTTTCAAAAGATATTCGCAAACGCTAGTTTTACCTGATGCAGTACCTCCTGCCACTCCTACAATAATTGGTTTCATTTATCACCCCTATTAAATAATTAATGCAAAATACTAAACTAATTCACAAGTTAATTACATTAAAAAACACGGGGTTTTGGGGTTTTGGGG